GACGAGCGGCCGACGGGCGCGCTGCCGTGGCTGTTGGTGCTCGAGTCAAACGACAGATCGGGGCCGGCGCGCCCGTAGGGGCCAACCCCGTTGACATCCGGGTAGCCGTTGGCGGGCCCGAATGCCGGCGATGGCGGCTGCGACGAGCCGCGCATCAGGCTGGCGTACTCGCCGTGGCTCCCCGTCCGCTCGAGCTCAATCTGACCCGGGTTGTAGGGGCGATGCTGGCTGAAGCGCGACGGTATCCGGGGCACGGGCGGGTCGTTGGCGTGCGGGCGCGAGTAGGGATTGTTGCGGTCGTGGGGCGCGCCGCCGTTGGCGTTGGCGTTGCCGTGCTGCTGGAAGCGGTTGCTGACGGCGCTGGGCCTGGCCGGCCCGCGCTCGTCCCAGCCCTGGTCGAGCATCGACTCCATGTCGCGCTGGTCGAGGGTGAGCTCCTGGTCGCCCACCCAGATCGAGTGCCGGACAATGGCCAGGGGCGGCGGCGCCGACTCGTCGTAGCCGCCGATCTGGGCGCCCCACCGGTCCTCGTCAAAGTCGCTGACCGTGTCGCTGAACGAGTCGCTGTCGGGCCGCAGCGAGGCCGAGAGCGGCAGGCCGGGCTGCTTGCGGTCGAGGTCGTCGCCGCCGTCGCTGCCGTCGTTGTAGAAGCCGTGGCCAAATTGCTTTTCCAGCTCGCGCCGGCGCTTCTCCTCGCGCTTCTGCTTGCGCAGCCGCGAGCGCTCCCAGTCCTCCCAGCGGCGCAGCGCCACCGAGCTGGCGACAAAGGCGCCGCCCTGGTCGATGTGGCCGAGGTCCTTGCCCTCGCCCTCGACCTTGCGCGTCTCGCCCCAGGAAAAGTCGTCAAAGTGCCAGAACGAGTACATGGGCAGGATAAAGTTCCACACCGGCAGCGCGAGGAGGTAGACGAGCATCCAGAGGACGTAGACGACCTTGCGCGTCGAGAGGAGGATGAGGAGCGCGGGCATGGTGATGACCGAGACGAGGAGGATCAGCGGGATCGACTGGGTAAAGTTCTTGGGCGGATGGATAGCGGTGCGGACGATCATGACGACGGTGAGGACAATGTTGATGGGCAGCGTGGCGGTGCCGAGGAGGTCCATGAAGACGACGAACTGCATCGAGAAGCAAAAGGTGCCGCAGAGGTCGCGGACCAGGACAAGCTCCATGAGGTTGTGGACGGTCGAGTTGATCCAGCGGCGGCGCTGCGAGAGGAGCATCTTGAACGTGTGCGGAACCTCGGTGCGGCAGCGCGCCTTGGGGCAAAAGACCATCTTGCGGTTCGGGAAGGTGCGCAGCAGCATCGTCGTCAGGAAGCGGTCCTCGCCCAGCAGCAGCAGGTTCTTCTGGTGGAGGGTGCCGACGGTGCTCTGGCTGTACTCGCGCGTCACCTCGGGCTTGACAATGATGGGCACCCAGTCGTCGTCGTTGGGCTTGCGCGCCTTGATTCGGTACATGGAGAAGCACCCGGGCAGGCAGGTGACACCTCCGAAGACCGTCTCGAAGCCCTTGGCCTGGTGGTGCGAGATGAAGTACTCGTACACCTGGATCATGGTGACCCAGCTCTGCGTCTTGTTGGCGATGCGGGTCTCGCCGCACGCGCCCATGACGAGGTGGTCGCTCATCATGACGTTGGCCAGCACCGTCATCGACTTGGGGTAGACCATGGTGTCGGCGTCGACCATCAGGCACAGCTCGAAAAAGTCGGGCGTGACGCCCATCAGCGTGTGCAGCTTCCGGAAGAGGTCGTAGTCGAGCGGCGTCATCCGGTCGTTGTACGTGACGCGCTGGAAAAAGTTCATCAGGATCAGCTGCGAGTCGCGCTTGCCGCGGTTGCCCGGCTTCTTGTCGGCCGCCTCCTCGGGCGTGCCGCACTTGACGATGACGACCATCGGCGTGCGGTGGCCCTCGACGCGCGTGTAGTGACCCGCGTAGACCATGGCCATATTGTGCTTCTTTTTGCCGTCGGCGACCGAGATGAAGCTCATCGGCATCGGCGTGCCGAAGCGCGGGTCGGCGTCGAGCAGCGACACGCACACGTCGGGCGTGCTGACCGACTCGCCGGAGCCGGTGACCATGCCGTCGGCCACGAGGAAGAGGAGCTTGCGCGAGTCCGAGTAGTCGGTGCCGGCCAGCGAGCTGAGCGTCGTCGAGATGCCCTCCTCGTTTTCCGAGTAGGCCGTGATCAGGCAGACGACGTAGGGCTCGGCGCCGATCGACTCGAGCGCCAGGCTCTCGGGCACCGACGTCGTCGTCGACACGCCCGACTCGCGGTGGACGAGGCGCGGCGGCTTCGACGGCGGCGGCCGCTGCTTGTTGGCCCACGGCGCGGCGCCCGACGCGTTGACGTC